TCCGGGGGAAAAAAACAGTCACTGCCAGTGGTGGTGTGAGATTCCAGTTGGTTCACACCCTCCCACATGGCGTCCTCTGACCGCCGCCGCCGCCGCCACCGCCGCCGCCGGCTGCTGCAGCAGATTCCTGTCACAGCTCCAGACTGAGTTGTAGGAGAGCGGATCAGGACACAGCAGCCAAAAACAACCAGAGGAATCCTCTGAGGCCTGGGTCAGGAGGAGGAGGAGGAGGAGGACCAGGAGGATGAGGAGGAGCAGCAGGAGGAGAAAGAGGAGGAGTAGGGGGAAGAGCAGGAGGAGGAGGTTGAGGAGCAGAGACTTCATTTATTTTATAAATCAATCAATTTTCTCTTGTGAACTTGTTCACTGACTAGTTTTGTTGCCAACATGGAAAAATCGCAGCTACCAACAAAGCTAACAGGCAGAAATCATTCGTTAGCGCATCAATACTTACTCTTTCTACTACTCTTCTAAATATATATATATAAACAGTTCAGTTTCTCGCCACTAGAGGTCCCTCTCACTAAAAATATAATTGTGGAAAAACAAAACTGTCTTCAAATTAGTGTTGACGCTCTAAACAAAAAGATGCTACAGAGCTAACAACCAGTATAGCTAGCGAGTTATATAGTTGTAACTCGCTAGCTTGCGTCCTTAAGTTCTACAAAATATAAACGCACTAGCTACGTCAAATGAGATTTAATTAAAGAGAAAACGACTGGCTAACGAAAAGTGCTAAAAGCAGCACAGATGCCTGGGAGGGGAGTTGAAAACATTTCTATTTTGGATCACCTTCATTTACTAAGCACTTAGCTTTAGCGCAGACATCGACTCACTCACTAAATAACGTACCCAGCATGCTAACAGCTTCACAAACTCACAGCTGAGCAACAGTATAGGAGAGAATGTGAAAAAAGAGGGGGCGCCGAGAGTAAATGTGACACTTTAATTAGTGCACGTGAGTCGTCAACACACACTCAAACAACACCAAACAGCTGTAAACAGTACAGATCAAAGCTGCCACGGTTAATGCCCTACGTTAGCTTGTTACTCATCACCGTCATTGTCGTCATACTCGTGTGCAAAAATGAAATACAAAAAAAACTAAAACAAAGCACTCGTCATTATCTGGCGTGCATAAAAACATTTCTGTGCAAGTACTAGTTTTAGACGAAGAAAAGCTGATTTCTGTTTTTGGTGCAGGTTGTAAAAAAATAAAAAGTAAAAATAAAATAAACCACAGTAACTGAACCAAACAACCACTGAACACAGAGAGGGAGGGGCTAAGTGCAGACAGACTCCTCCCACCACAACAGATGAATGGCGACATCATGCTGAATCAGAGAGAGGGGTGAAAAAAAGAGTTACGAACAAATTCATGCCGACAATCATCAAACACTTCAGGTAAAATATTCTACAATAAAAAATACTATGAGATTTTTTTGACAGAAATGGAGTCACGTGATGACACCTCGGCCAATAAAATACTTCAAAATGACCACAAAAGCAACAAAGAAAATGATGACGTCACAGGGCACAAAACCGTACATTCACTTCAAGTAGAGGTGGGTCCATGCTGTGGGGCGGGGCCACAGAGAAACAATAACTATCAGCAGGATATACGTTAACGATGAGGGACCTTGTGCAAAACCTCCTGGACACAGAAGAAGCAGTGCATCGGTTCGATTGGTCATAACAGTCGGAGTTGAACCAGCAACTTTGTTTTTTTTTTTTGGTTTTTTTTCAACCAACGGAGTTGTCGAAAGTGAAAAGATGCACTAGCATCATCGTCTGATGACGGATTTTTACCTTTGACCAAGACTGAGGTTGTTGCGGGCACAGTTTAAGACGTTCTGCGTTGAAACAAACGAACGACAAATGTTTTCAATGCGAAAAAAACGTAAATTTTCAATCAACGCAAGTACAACTGGATGAATACACTGTTCGCAAAGCAGCGTATCATCACCGCCCATATGTCGTGTGGACACTGTGACAGACAAACGGGGAATGTTTCTGTTGAATCTGCATAAATGTAGCGCAGCGCAACTTCCTGAGTTCACTTCCTGTACGGCCCTTCAGGTGTTTTAGAGGAAAAACATAAAGATGAACGTGATCTGTGGAGGAGATCCAGCCGATGACCTTAGTCAGGAGTAAGGCAGAATTTGTTAGTGGTATCGCTAAATCATTAATGGCTTCCATGTTTTCCTGGTTTGGTCCACAAGAGGGCGTCTGGGAACCCAGGACATAGCCTACAAACCTGTGTCTTGTTCTCCAACTCTACAGCGTACTGCTCAAGATCTCTGACACCTGTGAGTTTGTTTGGTCGTCCGAGTCAACGTCCTGGGCCGTGGCTCCTCCTACTCCCTCCACCCATCCTTTGGACTCTTCCTGTGCCATGACAACTGACCCCTGGGGGCCCGTCGCCTGATTGGTCATCTCTTCACAGACTTCAGTCTCTGATGACTTTCTGCAGGGTTCCACAAAGATCCTGCGAACGTGAGGTCTGTGTTCTCGATGTCGGCTCCTTCGGTTCTCCAGGACACAGGAGGCGTGGCTGACGTAGGTGGTACTGGAGATCTGGGCGGTTGACGTCAGGGTGGAATCCTCAGGTGTGGGCCGGTCCAGGTCAAACTGCTTGGTGTAGATGCCCTCAGACAAGGAGCCCGTGTGGTCCTCTCCGCTGTGGCCTCGCAGCCAGCGCTGAGGTCCACTGAAGTACTGACCGCGGTGACTGCGGGACAGCAGCTTACGTTTGGCCGGGGGGTTGGGGAGCACCCTCGGGGAAGGAATGGTGTCCTCCTTAGATAAGGAGAGGCCCTCCAGAGTCCTGGTCGTGTCAGTGAGAGTCGGAGACAGGGGTAGGGACAGGGGGAGGTCTTTAGAGAGTGTGGGGGACAGAGGGAGGGACGGAGATGAAGGAAGGGCCCTGTGATGGGAGGGAGAGCGGGGGAGATTGGAGGAGGGAAAGGATGAAGCAGCGTCTTTAGGTTGAGTGGTCAGTGGGGTGGGCGGGCAGTTGTCAGAGGCACAGACGCTGTACCTGTCAGACAACGGCAGACAAACTGTGAGGTCACTCCAAGGTCGTGTGTCAACGAGGGTCGGACGAGGAGAAGTAGAACCTCACCTGAGCTCATGGACCTGCAGCACGTCTGGGGCGCTGCCGCCCAGTGTGTGCACAGCCTGCTGGGAGAAACCCTGCGACGGCGAGTAGAGCAGGTCCAGCTCTCGGGGGCTCAGGGCATCGCTGGAGTCGTAGTCGCTGTCTGTCGGCAAAAAAACCTCCGAGGATCCGTCTTCATCCGACCCTAGGAGTGTGTCTGAGAGCATCAGCGAAACAGAACGTTAGCAGGTCAGAGTGCTAACAAACGCTACTTCAACACGAACCAGGGCGGAGGCTGCGACTCACCGTTGATTGCCTTCCTCCTGCGGAGTTCAGGCGACGGCGAGGGCGTGGCCAGGTAGTCCATGGTGGAGGAGGTGGAGTCTGTCTTTTGTTGACTAGAACTGTTCTCTGGAGAATTAGCATCAACGAGGCATGTAATAGGAACGCCACCGCTCGGGTGTTTGTAGCGAGCGTACTGCAGCGCATCAGTGATCCAACGCAGGTCGCGACGCATTTCGTCCAGTTGCTACAAAAGCACAAAAACAAAGAACCCAAAGTCTGAATGTGTGGACGGAGTCAATGTGTCCCCAACATTCTGTTACTTCAGAGTAACTTCACCAGGTTATAGCACATGTAGATATATGGAGAGAGATCACAATCATTCACAGCAGTTTGTATTCCAATTTTGGTTTTTTAATTTTTTTTTTAATCTTTTGTTTTTAAATGTATTTATTTTTATTTAAAATGATAATAAATGATTTTTGTAAATGTTTCACTCACTCCTGAAAAACTAGTGGAGTTTTCCTTTAAGTGTGAATGAAGCGTGAAGCTGCAATTAGTACACATACACACACACACACACACACACAGAAACACACAGATACAGACAGACGCACACTTACTTACACACACACACACACACACTGAACCATGACTCGGCTGGAAAGAATTTGTGCAGCGACGGCAGAGAAAGTCTGTGGAGAGAAAAACACAGAGGAGATTCCTGCTTGTCCACAGACGACAAACTTCTGTCCCACACGTCTCCACTCTTCATGTTGATACAACTAGCTGATTGACTGACTGACTAACCATAACCAACCATCCATCCAACCATCCATCCAACCATCCATCCAACCATCCATCCATCCAACCCTGACTGCGTGGCCAACTTATTCACTGTCTCCCTAACCTACAGACCAACTAACCAATCAACTAATGGACTGAGTAACAGCTGGTCCTGAACTAAACTACCAACCAACTATTAACTCAAACTCTAATTATCAACCAACCAACCAAATGATTGACTAGAACATCAACAATTCACCGGTTGTCTGGCCGACAGACCACTGAAACAACTGACCATCAGAACCTCAGACTGTGAACCTACTGACTGAGCAGCAAACAAACTGACCTCCCACTTGACCGACCCATTGGTTCAGTGACCGTCAGTAAACCGACTGAACAACCAGCCAATGCAGCAAAGGAATTAAAGGACGGACTGGAACAAACCTAACACAGACTAACTGGTCGACACGGTTGATGGTTCATGTCATAAACATTTGTATTTTTATCTCCTCATGCTAAAGCTAAGCTAACTGTTCTGTCATCAACAGGAACATCTCAAAAAACTAAGTTGAGTTTTTTAACTTAAGAGGGAATATTTTCAAAGTACAGAATAAAAACACACACACAACACACCAAGCCACACACACACACACACCCCACACACACCAAGCCACACACAGTGATTAGTATTATTTTTCCCCCCGACACCGCCCCCTCCCCTTTGTGGTCAGAGACTCCTTTTTTCTTCTGTTTTGAGAAGCTTTAAAGTCACAGACGAAATCCACACATCTGGTTTCTCACACACACACACGTGCGCGCGCACACACACACACACACACACACACACACACGGTGTGTTATTAAATAATCACAGGTTTCCATAAAGCTGAGACCACACTGTGTTCCACGTTGTCTGAGCGACAGTAAACGCATCGCAGACCAGACTCAAAACAGCTGACACAACTGAAGAACTTTCAAAATAAGAGTCTGACTTTGGAAGTGTACAAATCTACACGAAAACCACATTTACAGATTTAAAAGACCACATCATTTTTGTTGATCTTCGTGATGCAAAAGTGTCAAAATAAATAAAATACTCTCTGTTTGTCAAAACATGACCATAAACATGTGTTTTCAAAATAAAAGTCAACTCACTATTTTGGCTTGGGAGCTCATTTCTACATGACCTCAGTGATCTACCTCATACATGTAATTAGAAAAACTCAGTGTACTTGAAGAAACATGGATTTGTTTTTCTTTAAACCATTTTCGAGCTTGTATTTTGCAGTTCACCATCAGATGGCGATCTACTTATTGAGCACCCACGGTCTCCACAGTGAAAACTTTCAAAATAAAAGTATAGATTTTAGTTTTCCCAGTAACGTCATTTTGACCTCTGTCTGGGGTGAAATGCATGTTGGGAATTGTGTCTCATACCTGGATGTAGTCCAGAACGAGCTGATGTCGTTGTTTAGCCGTCACCACTTCGCTGTCAGTGATGGCCTCTCTCAGAGCCTGCTGGGTAATGAGGGCGTCCAGGTCCAGGACAGAGGACAGACGACAGTACAGACTGATGAACCTTTCTTTGTAGGTGCAAAAATGACCTGAGGACAGACAGAAAACATACAGTGACTCCACCTGCTGCAAGACAGTTGGAACTGCACAGACCAAGATGAAAGAGATTATTAAAAAAAAAAAAATCAGAAAACTTTTAGCTATATTTTTCTTGGCTAACTCCTTGGTATTTTTCAGCTAACCTTAAGCTTAACCAGATTCTCACCGAGCTCAAACATCTGTAGAGGCAGGTGCAGGAAGCCCGACAGCGGTGAGTAGGGGTTGGACTGTCCGGGGGCAGAGCAGACCTCCTCAGCTGGGGGTAGCAGCAGGAGGAAGGAGATCCCATGACCCAGCTCCACCACTTCCTGGCTGTAGAGGCGAAAGTGACGTGCCTGTGCACGTACACACACAAACACACGTGTAACAGACGGACCATACTCTAACAGTGTGACATCATGAGTGGGCGGGGCCTGGTACCTGGTTCAGAGGTATGTTAATGAGCTTCAGCAGGGACTTAATGGCGGTCTGCAGCTCGTAGTACAACAAAGGGACGTGGCTCTCAGCTATAGGCTCCGCCTCCTCACCATCCTCTTTGCTGTGGTCTGAGTCTCCCGTAGCCACCAGCTTCTGGATCCACTCCCACTCATCCCTGAGCCCAACACACACAACAAGGCTTTCACACAGGGTCCTCCAAAGCTACGAGCCAATCAAACGGAACGTACCTGGACACGTTGGAGTTGTCTCTTATGCGAGTTTGACACAGCATGTTGGGCGTTCGCTGGGAGACCAGGACTTTGATCTGGTCCACCGAGCTGCTTAGCTTCAGGTAGCCCAGGTACAGACCTGGGGCCAGACGATGGCCGCTGCGCCGCTGGTATGCTATGATGTCCTGAAGGACACAATCGGACAGAGGGGGCGCAGTTTGACACTGTGGTGTGGTTTCAATCAAGCAGTGAAGGTCAGCGTGATCTGGTCCTCACCTGGATGGTGATGATGAGGATGTCCAGAGCGTAGGGCTCCTCTGGCGTGGACAGGGACTTCCTCTGACTCTGCAGTTTGGTCACCTGCATCCACTTCCCGTTGTAGAGCGAGTGCTGACTCTCCGTGTCCCGGATGGTCACCAGCAGCACGTTCCCGTGGCGGTCCTTGATGGGCTCGTAGTGGACCCGTCCCAGGTTGTGGGTTCCCAGGAGACTCTGAGAGAGGAGCAAGAGTCATGTGATCCTTTCAGAGCGTAGAGTGGGAAGTGATTTACCATCATTCGGAAGAACAACGGTTTAGCTTCAGCGTGATCCTGATCAACAACAGGTTTCCAGATAAAACCAGTCTCTGACCTGCAGCTGTCCAGCTGCCGTCAGCATCTTGTGTCTGGCCTGCAGCGTTGAAGACGAGGACATGGACACTGACATGCTCTGTCTCAGCCACCGGATGTCCTCCCACATACAGGACAGCTGCAGAGAAACACAGTTCAGGAGACCATTCAAACCAGATCAGAGCCTGTTCACACCACTCCTCTGGTTCAAGACTCTAACAGAACCATGGACTGTACCTTAGTGAACCACAGGAAGTCCTGCATCAGAGTGCTGCCGTACGAGTCGTCCACCTCCACGATGGGGACCTGGTCCTCGGCTGTGACCAGGAGACTGTCCTTATGGTAGAAGACAGCAGCCAGATACACCCCCCTGTGCACACGCGCACACACACGTGGAGTTCAGTTAGTCCATAATTGAAAAACTTTTGCGTGTGGACAGGAAGTGCTGCGTCAGCTCTGACTGTGCTGTAAACGAGCACCATGTTCGGAACAGTGTGAATCAGAGTTGACTCAGATGATGGAAACTAAAAATAAATCTCAGCCTCTCACAACACTCCAAATAAAATCAATCATTTTACCAAAGAAGAACAAGGAGCTGCTGGTCCAACGCTGCCTCCTGTGGTCTTATTTTTTTGATGAATCTGATTAGAGGATTTTAAAGACTGAGATGAAAAAATAAAAATGTGAAGGTGACGATGGAGGCAGCAGAGGATGATGATGATGATGATGATGATGATCAGGTCCAGCCCACGTTATCTTCACATCGTGTTCTCAGCCCAGTGTGAAAGAGTCGGCTGTAAATTCTCCAATGCCAAATCCCATAGAGAAAATGAGCGATTTTACATCTCAGGGACACAGAGGTCGTTGATTCACGGCTGTTCCTTCAGTGAGTTCAAATGTTGGCCGTTTTTTATTAAAATTCTATTTTTACAGATTTTCGTCACAAACAACAACACACCACAGAAGAAGAGTTGAAGCAGCAGCAGCTTTGTCTAAAACCGGTGGTTTTTTTTCTACAGACTTTGGTGCAGAGTCATTTCTTCATCATGAAACAACACATGAATGTCATTTTTGATTGATTGATAAGCATGAGATCAAAGATTGACTGATGATCAGTTTTGGTGTCGAACCTTTTCAGTGTTTTCACAAACTTGTTGGAGGAGTTGAACAGATGTTTGAGGCTCCTGGAGACCGACTGCTTCCTGCTGGTGTTCTGCAGCTTGGACGAGTCTGAGGAGGAGGAGAAATCATTTTTTTAGTCAATGAGAAAATGAGAACGTGAACAATTAACAACCAAACAAGTGTGTTTTCATTTTAAAGCTGGTGCGTTGCCCTCGGCCTCAGAGGTCACAGGGGTCACTGAGGTCACCTCACTCTGACTCAGTCTTATCTGATTCTCTTTCACCCGGCCGTTTGTCTCCTTTTCTTCCCTTTACAGTCCCTCCGTCCTCCCCCTTAGGCTGTCCCCGTACCCCCCCCTCAGACCCTGCCTGGACATTGAGTGATGCCAATCTCCAAAACCACAGCGCCCCCTTTGACTTCTGCTAATTAGCCGTTAAAGAATGAGCATCCTGTAAACAAACATGAGACTGATGGTCACGAGCACGACTTTAATGCTGTGTCGCAGGAGGAGCAGGAGAAGGAGAGGAGGGAGACTGGTTTGAAACAATGATTATGAGGATGTCATGTGGACGGTGTGGACAGGATGGACGGGGTGGACAGCATGGACGGCGTGGACAGGATGGACGGTGTGGACGGCGTGGACGGCGTGGACAGCATGGACGGGGTGAACAGTATGGACGGTGTGAACAGTATGGACGGGGTGAACAGTATGGACGGGGGGGACAGTATGGACGGTGTGGACGGCGTGGACGGCGTGGACAGCATGGACGGTGTGAACAGTATGGACGGGGTGGACAGCATGGACCGGGTGGGGAGGATTGACGGGGTGGGACATGAATCACTCACCTCCACAGCAGTAGTGTGTGTGAGTGGCTCGGACCTGCTGCAGCAGACGCTCCATGGCCTCGATGTGGCTCCGCCTCCTGGGCTCTCGGCCATCGCACTCCATCCAATCTGATGAAAACACAAAAGTCAGGATAATTCTAAGCGCCCCCTGCTGCTGCTTCACAAAACACTCGTTAGTAACACGTTATTGGGAAACACGGTGTTTCCCACTAAGTGTTTGTCCTTTTACACCAAAGTCCTGGGAAAAAAATCTTTAATTTTACCCCACAAGAACACAGGCAGTGCATGTCTTCTGCTGCCTCCTGTGGTCAGTTTGTGTCACTGAACCAAGTGTGAACAAAGTATTTCACACTTGTCATCATAAAAACAACACTTCTCAACCTCCAAAAGTAATAGAGGCAGAAGAGGTTTAACAATTTCTGTTTGCTTTAATTTAAAATCAGCAGTTTTTCTATGGACTTTGGCATGGACCACAAAAAACTGTTCTGCAGGAAGAACTCTAAAGAACTTACTGGAGGGAGCTGCAGAAGGGGGCAGGGAGGAGGCCGGCGGACCCCATCCCTTCATGTTGTAGGCCAACACTCGGACGTAGTACAGTCGACCCTACAGTGAAGAGAATGCTGCAGTTGAGTGAAAGGGAGCAAAACCCAGAGGGGGCAACAGAGAGCAGGGTCCTGCTGAGTTTTTACATGGACATAAGTCACAAGGTGTTTGTGCCAAGAACATTTATATAACGAGAAGCTTTTCATCTGCTTTGTTGCTCTTCACTGCAACTGTGTCCTTGAAAAGACAAGCGTGAGACCACGAGCACACTTGTCGTGCGCCACGTAGGCGGAGATCTCAAACGACTGGACTGAAGGACTTGGTTTCAGCTCTGCACACAATACACGACATCACAGTCGTCCCTGACCAGAGTGAATACATCCTACACACACACAAACACAACAGAGTCCTGACGGTGGGACTGGACTCTCGTTGCAGCCTGTGCTGTTATATTTTTTGTCAGACCTCAGCCTCAGACCGTAGCTTTTCGACTTGTCGGCGACACAGACGCAGGCCGGTCAGTGTGGTCTTACCGTGGTCAGGCTGTTGATGGTGACCTTCAGGCTCTGAAGATCCTGCAACACCATATCTCCAGCTACAAGTGAGAAGTCCTTCAGACAGCTCCACTCCACTGTAAAACACACCACACACACACCTGCGTCAGTAGGATGTCCGATCACACCTGTCCATGTCTTGTTTGTTTTTCCCGCGCTCCTCTTTTACCACGGTACTTCGTCACCACCGTTGAGTTTAGACACCGCGGCTCCTGGAAAGTGACCGTTAGCGTCGTGCTGCTGCTGACACTCAAACGCACCATGGACGGGGCTTCGGGGACACCTGCGCAGGGACATGAGACACATCTGTCTGCTGATGGCGCTGCTGGGTACTTTAAACTGCAGAAGGGCAAACTGCTTGTTAATATTAAAACACAGATGGCGCTCACGTGCATGTTGGAATCCTGTTCTCATGCGTTTGTAAAGTTTACACCTCCACTCCCACGCCTTCAGCTGTTTGTCTTTGTGACACGCCTCCAGAGAGAGCCCGTCCCTCTGAGCCTGAGCAGCTAGCTCAGCCGCACGCCGCTCCGCCTCCACCACCAAAGATCGTAGGTGAGTGTCTCGACTCTCCACACTCACAACTGAAACACACGCAAAGAAGCTCATTTCAATGTCTGCATTACTGACCCCTACGGACATGGAAGCCACTGCATGATCTGTGTGTTATCAGCCTGAAACTGAGCATGAATGGATTTATCGATCCAGCAGCTGTGGTAGTAATGTGTCTGTAATACAGTGTGATTGACTCAAGTCTGCAGCTGCACAAAGTTACTTGATTGGGTGACAAGAAAATGCAGCTAATGAAATAAAACAGTGGATGTAAACTGATTGGACGGCTACAACAGGAAGCAGTAAGGAATCAAACCATAGACCTTCTGATTGTCGGTCAACCTAATCTACTGATCCACAGCTGGGTCACAGTAATTCCCCTGTGTGTGTGTGTGTGTGTGTGTGAATGAGTGTGTTGTATACTTATGTTTGTTTGTTTACGTCTGTCACGGTTGTGACTAAGAACTGGAGCAGAGAGTGAGTGAGTGAGTGTGGGAGAGGGCGAGAGAGCAGTGAAGTAGTATTTGGACGAACACACACACACACCCACACACACACACACACACACACACACACCTTAGTCCTGTCCTGATTCAATTTGAATTAATCATAAACCTGATCCTGTTACTGAACTTAAACAGGATTTTGACAGGACTGAGAACCACATCTGGACCTTGCAGCTGGTCCTGATTCTGTTCAGTACGATTCTGATTCTCACTGATGTGGAGCCACTGAAGTTCTAATCCTGATCTAGTTTAACCTGTTGTAAAAACCAGGGAGTGAAAACCTACGAAGACTCTGACCCTGACCCTGACCCTGGTCTACGCCACATTCAAAACCTCTGTTACTTCTGAGTTTTACCAAGATTAAAAAAAAAAAGATAGAACCAAATTATCACTAATACCATCAAAAATGAAATTATGTCTATTTATCTTATATGTAGGGCTCAACACACACACACACACACACACACACAGACTGATGTTCTGGACTCTGGAGGAACATCATGAAGCAGTAGCGCTGCCTCCGGAGGGAAAACAGCGCCACTGTTTACTCTGTTTGAGTTTGTTTACAGGGATGGAGTTGGAATGCTGCCAAGAATCCAGAATCCAAGTCCAGATTCCGTGTGTGTGACACTCGTCGGCCGTCGCCTGCTGCTGCCGCCGCCGCCACGGAGGCTGTGCAGCACAATAAATCACTTAGCTGTAATTGCCCCGCCGTTACACGCATCATTGGAAAAGTTAAACCATTAAACGACAAACCTCGTTAAAGCTGTTTCAGCGGGGAGCTGTGCACGTGCACGTGCACAACACACACAAACACACACATGGTAATGGGTTTTCAGGCTGAAGGTAAGAACCACCTGTCTGAGGACAGCAGTGAGACTGATGAGGAAAAATTGAGAGACTTGGAGTGTGTGTGTGTGTGTGTGTGTGTTAGTGTGTGTGTGTTAGTGTGTGTGGAGTAGGGGGATAGCAGGCCCTTTCACGGCCCTGTGTTGGAGACCCAGACTGCTGCTGCCGACACAAACACAGGCCCTGTCTGAGCCACGTACAAACACACACACACGTACACATGTAGACACACACTTCATGTTTAACCTACAGTGAGTTCATACACTCTAATTAGCTGTGACACACAAAAACATGCTAACTGTTATCTATGATCTATTGTCAAAGAGCTCAGAAAGAACACAGTGAAGATCTAGCAAAGGTTAGCTACATGATAAGTTAGCATCAGCATCAGAGCGACTGATGCTAACACCCCACAGTCCTCTGACCGCTGGGCCTCATGGACACTGAAGCAGCATTGACCAGAGGGGGGCGTACTCACAGTGGGGACTCTCCTTTCCTCCGGCCTTCAGCAGTAGCTTAGCGATGGGCAGGTTGTTGGTCATGATGGCGATGTCCAGTGGTGTCAGGCCCTGACTGTTGGGGGTGTTCAGGTCCAGCTCTTCTGCCGAAAACTGGTACAGAAGGATCTGCACCGTGTCCAGGTCCTGCTGCTCCACGGCATCAAAGATGCAATCGCTGCCCTGCATCGTCTGCACCAGACCACAGGAAGTCACAGGGAGTTAGTACTAATCACACTGTGAGCGCCCCCTAACACTAGAACTTTCCTGAAGCAGAGATGACACAGTTTTGGTTCTCGTCTTCAAAATCCATCCATTACATGCATGACCGTATGCCCCCCCCCCCCACACCCCTGGGTTAGTCCTTCAGTTGGGGAGTACTGATGGCGCCTGACG